TTGAACCGAACCCAAGTGACCTGGCCCAACAGCAACCGATACGTCCAGCAATCCATTATTTTCGAAAACTTCAATTTCACAAAACGCAAGCATTATGGAGGGAAGGCACTCGAGATGGAACTCACAACCACGGCCCCGCGATCTGCTAAGAAAAATCAGAGGTCAGCTTTCCCAATTTTATCAAAATTTCGAATTTGAAATTCAATTTCTTCGAGTAGACACTAATTCCTCATTTTCCATTTCCTTTTTTTTTGTGAATTTATTTGGGTGCCCAGAATTTACTCGAGCTATGGTTGAAGATCTCAGCAATGGACGGTCTCCGGAGATTTTCATCGATCGCTTCAGAAATTACTGCACGAATCCCGATTCAAATTGGTTAGATCCTAAGCCTTCTTTCTCGATTTTAGTTGATTGTTCAGATTTTCCTCTATATTCTCAGCAACCGAACACGCGCCACAGAATTCTTACGTTTATGATTCACTACTTATTAATACATCATTACTACGTTTTAAATTTTAGTTATCGAAATTGTTATGCTCTGCGCAGCTATTGTAGTTTTGATTCACCGAAAGGGCAGGAGATTCTCACGCTTCGAAGGGCAAGCCATGTGCGTAGATTAGGTAGGATTGTTGTGCTTGCTGTGGAACGTGATTTTTTTGGCTTTGAAAGCATTTCGTTATTTGTCTTTATTAATTTGCAAACAACTTATCAGAGGCATAGCACGCCGTAGAATCGTGCATGTATTTTTGTCAGACTATCATTGTCAATGTATATGTGATCATGACTGAGTCTTACAATGCAACAGACAATAGAACGTTATCGGAAATGTTTAAGAGATTTATGAAGTGCATTTGTTATTGATGATTAACTGGTTTGCGTAATCTGTTTCAGATGTTTTTCTCAGGGTTTTGTTGATTGTTCAGCAACTTCTGCAAGAAAACAAACATGGGTCTAAGAGGGATATCTATTACATGCATCCTTCTATATTTTCAGGTTATCTGAGTTATCTTTCATTTCCAGTGTCAAAGCATAATCCTTGCTATATGATATAGCTCGTTAAGGGACCTTGAACTTGGATTATGATAAATTGTATTCTTTGTAAATTTAGTAAACCTTGATAAATGCAATATATTTTGGGCCTTATATTTTTCATATCATCATGGAGGACACAGGATTTCTGTTTAGACATGATCTTTAATAATTTGAAGTTCTTGATGAGGTACGTTCACGGTCTCCCATGTAAGTAGTAATATTTTCTGCTTAAATTACAATGCAGATCAGTCAGTCGTAGACCGTGCAATCAATGACATATGCATCCTTCTGCATTGTAGTCGCCACAATTTGAATGTCGTGGGTACTCCGATTTTTTCCTCATTTAATTACATTGCTATTTTATTTATATTATTGTACTCGAGCCTGTTATGTACGATTAGTATGGTAGCATTTTGATATGTTCCCTCCTTTTGACAGGTGTCTGTCGGAAAGGGGTATGTATGAAAAATTTTCGGTTGATTTTCAAAGAAAAGAAGATAATGGTGTACTTTCCTGTTTGATTTTGTATGAAAATGACTAATGCCAATAATTATTCACATTTAAATGTGTGCATTCCTGGTTTTATTGAATACTTTGTTAATCTTGAGTTGATCAACTTCCTCTCTGTGGTAGCATTAGATTTTCATTGCGTTGATAACAATGATAACAATTCACATATTGTCAAACCAGAATGTTAATTGACATGCTTTATAGGTTGGTAATGGGCTGGTTAAGGTTCTCAGAAGCTGGAAACGTATTTGATTGCATAAATAGGCCAAACACAGTAAGAATGGATCTAATTTGATTTTTTAAAACGATTTGATGATATCTTCTTCATTGTCACCTGACTGTGTTTGAACTTAAAACTTTGCATCTGGTTCACATACAGGCCTTCCCTGTCCCTATTCATGTTGAAGAGGTTAAAGGTATCCAGATGGTTAAGAAAGAATAATTAAATTTCTGTGTTTAGAAACAATGTTATTCAATTTTGATAATGTAAATGTTATAAACGCATTGCTAATCCTTATAGACCAACCCTAAGTGTCCAAGGAAAGAAAACTCAAACCTTTAATTCTAACATGCAGATATTGTCAGTGTAGCTCGGTACATACTTGTTGTGGAGAAAGAATCAGGTATACTAGTTTTTTTAACTCTGACGCTTTAGCATGAAAGAGCTTGATTTTGATGCGTGCTTCTATCAACAAACCATCATTTGTTTATATATTTTGTACAGTTTTTCAACGATTGGCAAATGACCAGTTTTGCAACAAAAACCATTGCATTGTTACCACTGTAAGCATACACCTTTTGCTTTGTCCATATTAGTTCTCTTGGATCCTTGCAACAGCTTTTTATTATTTTTATGGGTGTTTTTCTTCACAGGGGCGTGGCTATCCTGATATTCCCACAAGAAGGTAAGGAGTCCCCTTCAAACTAAAATGGGAGTAGGGCGTGCCTTGCCTTATATGCTGTTTGCATGTTCGTTTCCTTTTTATCTATTTAGTTCTTATAATTTTCCGTTATATTTGCTAGGTTTTTGGGGCTCCTTGTTGATACTCTGCATCTCCCTATCTATTGCTTGGTAGATTGTGATCCGTACGGTTTTGACATCCTCTCAATATATCGGTTTGGTTCTATGGTTAGGCTTGCTAATTAATCCATTAAATTGTTATCTACTTTTTGCAAAGTTGACTAGCATGTGAACTACCTAGGAAAACTGCACATATTGAAGATTAAGAAGTGCTGAAGAAGTCAATTGTTTTGTAGACTGCTCCTATATTGTAACGAAGCTCAAGTTTATATCAATTTAACGCACTCCCATTGTTATGTAAGCAAATGGCCTATGATGCAAAATTTCTACGCGTCCCTGAGGTACTCTGGCTTGGAGCCTTCCCTTCGGACTCAGACAAGTACGGTCTTCCACAACAGTGTCTCCTTCCTTTGACGGTAGAAGGTGAGAGATATGGTGCTTTACATGGCATTTTTTTGTTTGTAACCTTCCTGAGGTTCCTTATAATGATGCCAGACAAGAGGAAAACGGAGGCCATGCTACTTCGATGCTACTTACAGAGAGAAGCGCCGCCACACTGGAGGTAAGACTCTGTAGGTTTCTTATCTCATTCTTCATATGACTGGATCGATTAAATTACATTTCATAGTTTTACTCTTTCTGATGACAGATTGGAGCTACAGTTGATGCTGGAAAGAGGAGTGAAGTTTGAGTTAGAAGCGTTGTCTGTGCACGAACTTAACTATTTGTCGGAGGTGTACATACCATCTAAACTTCAAGGTGGAGTCCACATCTAACACCATCTAAATCTGTATTACTTAGATTGTAGGATAAACGAAATTATCGGATTTCTGCAAAGCATAATCAACATTTGCATTTGCAAACCATTGTTAAGTGGACAAACAATGATCTGAAAACACAAGACTGGAATGCCTCAATAATTAGTGATGTAATTCCTTTATGATTATGGTGCGCTATCGTCTTTACCTTTTTACTTGCATCCGAAGTCTCTGTTTCTCGGTGGGCTAAAATCGTGCTTCGCTTTTGAACGCGATCCTGTACAAACAGAATTTTGACAGATTGCAAGGCACTGTGTTTAATTTGGTGAAATGTGATGACCCTGGTGAATACAATTGTATTACTCAATCATCCTAATATGGATCAGGCCTTGTGATTCTATAATATCGCTTTTAAAAAAAGAAGTAAAAAGACTTTTTTGCTTATATATTTCCAAGTTCCAGGCACACTGTTGATGTGGAGTTCCACCAACTATGACATGACACGTGTGTATTTTTAACATCATGACTTGATGCCTTTTATTAATATAACACCAGCCTTCTGCCTTCACTCTCCCTTCACCGTCTCTATCCACACTGACAATGAAGCAATCTTCGATCAAAATGTCACCACCACCTTCATCCAAACGTTTGACACTGTCACTACCAAGGTTCTAAAAGACATTAGGTGCTAGTAAGTGGCAGGCTGGGACCTAGCGCCTTGGTGGCTAGGTGGAGGCCTAGGCGGATTTAAGTAAGTATATTATATAGCGTATAAATAATTGTCTAATTATACTTAATAATTTCATTGGGATACATAAGAATCTGATTATATATTTTTAAATTATATATCGAATGAATAAATGTCTATCTAAGTGAGAGTCGTGATCTAGGCTAGTGTCTAGATGAGTCTGGACGGGCTAGGTGGCGCCCTAAGCAGGTTTAGGTGTCCTTTCTTAGTTTTCAAATGTCTAGAGATTAATCGGGCCTGTGGCTATTGCCTAGGCTGGGCCTAGGCGAAGATTTTAGAACAGTGGCCACCACCAAGATCAAAGTTAAGTGAAAGAACACGTGATAGATGATTAGGTGTACGATAGACATATACTATAGTTTATGGTGATGAGCAAAAATGCTCCCTTCCTTAAATGGTGGGTTTGTGTTAAAATTGTACACGTGTCAAGTCATGGTTGATGGAACTCCAAGTCAGCTAATGAGCCCGGAACCTAAAAGCTTTTCTCCAAATCATAATGTTAAAAATGTATAGGTGTCATGTTATCGGTTGGTAGGAACTCCATATCAGCTAATGAGCCTTGGAAAAAATTCTTTTAACCAACTAAGAAGATATCAAATTAACTGTTGGTATCTTGTCGATATTAATTTCTTCTTAATCAATTTGACTTTGATCTATTTTTTTTCTTTTTGAATGTACTATGACGACTGAATGTCCACATTCACACTTATATCTCTCAATCCGAATTAAGAAGTAAATTCGAATATTAAAAATTACGTGACTTGTATTAGGCAATTCATCCAATAATATCACGTGGTTTTATTACCTCTTCTGCAAGGTTTTACAGAGTGAAATTCTTGAAACACTAATATTCCTGCTCGAATCAAACTTATATGGAAATATCCGAGACCAGAGATTTTAGGAATTGATCCAGAATGTAACAGCCAAAATACAACTATAAAACATGGAAATTCATGAGTAATTATCTTTTAAAAAATAATATATAAACGACATAAAAATAGGTCACACTGTGCGTATGAAGCGGTTCAGACAACAGTAAGCTGATGCAAGAAAACACCATTCGGAAGAGCTACCAAGAAATTCTATCAGAAGCTCTGATGGATTCTTCTGTTGCACAAATGGTAAGATTATAACACCTTTAATACTTCTGTCTTTGTATTTTTTGTTATCGAGGCGATATTTTGAATTACTCTAATTTATGAAACGAAGGTTTGAACTGGGTGCTGGTAGTGGGCAGTGTTGTTGGGCAACTAACCTAACTCGTATATGTTATCTTCGTTTGTTTTTAATTGTAAATTTTTTTAGTTTATTTTATCTTAGCTTAATTTGATATGAATTCGTTCTTTTGCAGAGTTGTGTTCTGAAAGTAAGCATCAATTGTGAAGCATGCAGGAAAAAGATCTACGAAGTCTTGCAGAATATTTATGGTATATATTTTTCATTTTCCCCCTCCTTGATTTGCCCTTTTATTTTTCACTAATATGAATTTATTTTATTTTATTTTGCTTTTGTGAAACTTAGGTGTGTATAAAATTAACATAGATGCAGAGGGAGGAACGGTAAAAGTTTCAGGGAAAGTAAATCCAAGTACACTTCTAATGGTGTTGGAAGGGTCAGGGAAACATGCAGAAGTAAAAAGTGTTACGTTCGACGGTGAGGTCAAGAACGATTGGGGTGGGGGATACGATTATTTTGGAGAGGCTGGATATGGTTATGGTTATAACCCTTATGAAGTGGCTCCACTGCCATTTTATCCCTATCCGCTGTATGGAGGGTATGACTATCACTGGAATGATCCCGGTCGTCTCAAAATGATGCCATTGCTAGCGCTACCCCCACCACCAGTGCCGTTAGCTTCGTCATCACCATCGGTACCACAACAGTCTCAACCACCACTGCCACTACAATTACAACCACAATCAGTGCCACCACAACCACCAAAAACACCCGCACCACCAAATCAGGTGCTACCACCACCGCCACCGGCAGCCAATGCTGCACAGACAATAACGAAACCAGCGGCCAAATCGGATAAGAAATCTAAGTGTTGTATCATGTAAGGTGCTGAAATAGGTCTAGGATTGCTAGACGGCTTATTGTTCATTCATCATACAAGGATTTCCCTGATAATTATATCATGTAAAGTCGGAACTCATTTTTTTCTCTTCCCTTGACATTTCATGTCGAAAGAATTTTGGTCTAAATGTTTAAGAAATTGCATGTGTGTTGTGGCCTATATTTACTGAGAGAAATAGAAGAGGCACGACATGTAGAGAAAGAGAGATGCAAAATAGGCTTGAAGAAATGTGTGTGTTATTCTCCATACCTTGTGCCTTTATTTATAGTCATAATGAGGAGGGAAAACTTGTTCTCCAAGTCATACAAAGTTTAATAGGAAAGATCTTTTTGATCCCGAAGAATTCCTAACTTATTTCTACTTAGGATTTACACAATCACCTATGTATGAGAATGTATATCACAACACTCTCCCTTGCGTGTGTAAATACTCAAGTAGATGGTCCATCAGATCTTTCGGCAAATGTAGAACCAGCTGATCAAGTCACCTCGTTTAGTTAGCACAAGTGACAAATATGAGTCTCAAAGCAAACAAAAGAATGCATAGGTAGTCCACTCACAAAACATCGCTATGGTATAATGTATGATGTAGGATGTGTGAGAATAAGACTAAACCATGTAGCAATGTTGTACATAGATGATCATGCTTGGTTAATCCACACTGGGGACCATACATATTTTAGGGGTGACTTTGCTTGGTTAATCCGTATTAGGGTTCACTACCTACTTGGTTACATTGTCCTCAGGATCCCCGAGTCATTACTGGTACGTTACTTATTTGTGGTAATCCAGCTAGAGTTCTGATTAAGTCGGGTGCTACATTTTCACTTGTATCTCCATCATTTGCACGAATTATAAATTTGCAACCTACACCGCTTGGTTTTGATATGCTAGTACAAGTGTGTCATATTTTGGCCCAGGCCTCCACCACATCCCGGGCTGACTTTGCCGTAGCACAATATTGTTCGCTTTGAGCCCCGACCATGCCCTCACGGTTTTGTTTCTAGGAACTCACATGAGAACTTCCCAGTGAGTCACCCATCCTAGGATTGCTCTCGCGCGATCTCGCTTAACTTCGAAGTTCCTATGGAATCCGAAGCCAGTGAGCGCCCAAAAGGCCTCGTGCTAGGTAGAGATGGAATATACATATAAGGCTTACATGATCCACTCCCAAACTGTCACATCCAGGCTGGGGCTCCTACCACATCTAAGGACTCGACTCCACCGTAGCACGATATTGTCCGCTTTGGGCCCTGACCACGCCCTCATGTTTTGTTTCTGGGAACTCACGAGCAACTTCCCAGTGGGTCACCCATCCTAGGATTGCTCCAGCCCAAACTCGCTTAACTTCAGAGTTCTTACGGAACCTAAAGCCAGTGAGCTCCCAAAAGGCATCGTGCTAGGTAGAGATGAGAATATACATATATGGCTTACATGATCCACTTGCCTGAGCGATGTGGGATGTTACAAAGAGGCATATGGAGATCTTTTCTATGCGTAGTGGGAGTATAGGGATTGCCTAGTGGTAGTTGAAGGGGAACTTATAGAGGCTAATTTAATTCCCTTCAAATCAGCAGAGTTTGATGTTATATTGGGAATGGATTGGTTATCCAGGCACTATGCTTATGTCGGTTGTAGGGAGAAGTTTGTGATGTTCAATCGGCCTGGACGATCGTCAGTCACATTTCAAGGTGAGTGACGAATCCTTCCTAATAGTATTATTTTTGCTATCTAGGCGACTAAGTTGTTGCATAAGGGATATGTGGGATTCTTAGCCCACGTAGTGATGAGGGATGAATCTTTTTTGCGTCCTGAAGATGTGCCAAGTGGTGAAAAACTTCACCGATGTATTTCCTGAGGATTTGCCAGGGTTGCCACCAGTGAGGGAGATCGAATTCACCATTGACTTGCTTCTAGGAACAAACTCTATTTCCTTAGCACCAGTATCGAATGACACCAGCAGAGTTGAGAGAATTGAAGATATAACTCTAGGAGTTAGTGGATAAGGGTTACATCCAGCCCAACATGTCTCCTTGGGGTGCTCCTATCTTGTTTGTTAAAAAGAAGGATAGGTCGATGAGATTTTGCATCGACTATAGACAGTTGAATCGGGTGACAGTGAAGAACTGTTATCCTCTACCTCGGATTGATGACCTGCTTGACCAACTGAAGGGTGCTCAGGTATTTTCTAAGATTGATCTTTGATTGGGTTATCATCAGTTACTGATTCATGAAGAAGATGTGCCGAAGATTGCCTTTCGCACTAGGTATGGGCACTATGAATTCCGTGTCATGCCTTTTGGATTAACAAATGCACCTGCAACATTCATGGGTTTAATGAATAGAGTCTTCAGACTGTACCTGGATCGGTTTGTAATTGTGTTCATTAATGACATCTTGATCTATTCCAAGAGTGTTGCTGAGCACATGAAGCATTTGAGGTTGATGTTGGAAAGGTTGAGAAGTAATCAGTTGTATGCTAAGTTCAGTAACTGTCAGTTTTGGTTGGACTAGTCAGTTTTCTTGGACGTGTAGTCTCTGCTGAGGGAATTAGTGTGGATCCTCAGAAGATTTCAGCAGTGTCTATTTGGGAGTAATCAAGAAACGTTACTGAAGTGAGAAGTTTTCTAGGTCTGGCTGGCTATTACAGACGTCACCTAAATCTAACCCAACACCTTTCCTAAGCCCTAAACGGATCCAACCCTTTGACCCAGATGGAATATTCCGTCAGGAACTATTTTATCAGTCAGGGAATATTCTCAGGAATATTCTTTCTGTTGACCTTTTGTTCAATTTTTTATATTTACCGGGGACCCTTCTTGGGGTAATTTGACGTCCTAAATCCGTTTTTGACGTCCATTTTCCCAAATTCAAGCGTTTGAATATAGTTTTATTAATTGGACCCTTTATGTGCTTAGGTGCATTTATTGTGGCGTTTTCGTCTTCGCTAGTTTGCGCGGCTCTAAGACGACGAAGTATGTGGACCCCTTCTAAAATGCATGTTTTAATAGTAGAAACGCATACATGAAAAGCATGATTTAATGATTACATTTTATGAAATGTTGTATGAGATATTATGCTTACTTAGAATATTTTGGAATACCATATTTTCTATCGAACCCATGTTCTTTGTAGGACATCTGATGGATGACAATATACTATTTAGAACATGTTTTCACACACTTATTTATAGTATAGATGATGGATAATTTTATTCTATAAAGATGATTTCGAGATATATGTACCTATGTTTGGAAAGACTATATTCAATGTTTTTGTGCGTATCTATTGGTCACTGTTCTGCCTTTGAGCGAGATACTTATATTGCCTTCCAGTCAGGGTGATGTAGGGGCCTTCGGGTTGATTGAAGATTATTATATTGGCCTTCGGGTTGGGAGATATTATATTGGCATTCGGGTCGGGTAATGTAAGGGGGCCTTCGGGTCGATTGAAGACTCATATATTAGGCCTTCAGGTCGGGTGATGTAGGGGCCTATGGGTCGATTATGATACCACTAGTTAGCACACTATATACGAGATTCGTTTTATGAAAGGTTTTATTGCATGTTAGGGTTTTCAGAAAACCTATTACATATTATACTATTGAATTTCCATAAAACTTTGGGGGTTAGTACGTTGATAACTGTTTTTATTATATATATATATATCAACTTAGTCCACTCATGTTGTTTTGCGCCCCCTCAGGACTTAGAATTAAGGCGTATAATCCTAGCATTAAGGCACTTCCGCATTGACATCTTTGAGTTCTCTCAGTGTAGGACCCATTATTTTATTCATTCAATTTTATGTTATTTCTTTTAGTATTTCTAGTTAGTTGTATGCGCTGAACACGTTCCTCATTCGTATATTAATTATATGGAAATTGATAAGTCTTATTTATTCTTATTCTCATGCATTCTAAATGGCTTGCGTCACCTTCGGATGTTGGCTAGCACGTACCTACCCTAGTGTTCAGGGAATATCGGGGTCGGGGTGTGTCAAATTGTACTTGATATATCCGTGATGGGTGATCACTACCAAATGTTATATGAATTGGTCATACTTGGTTAATCCACATTGGCGGATTATACACATTATCATGGTGATTTCGTTGAGTTGGTCTGGAATCCTATATCCGATGGATTTCTTTAAGTTGGTCTAGAATCCAACTTCCTCTATGGTTCCGTTGAGTTGGTTCAGAACCCTATATTCGAGGGAATCCATTTAGTTGGTCTGGAATCATACTTCGTGCATGGTTCCGTTGAGTGGTATGGAACCCCATATTCTTGGGATTCCATTGAGTTAGCCTGGAATCCTAGTTGTTAGATGGTTAGTTAAGTAGTCTGGAATCTAGTGAGTCGTGCTTGTCGAGTTCCATTAAGTGGTTCTGGAACTCTATGTTTTCCTACTAGATAATTCCATGAGAAATTGTGGAAGTCATTGCAAATACAAGGTTTTTTAGCTTAACGAAATTGTAAACTACGATTGGCTTGATTCCTTCCCAGGATACGTAGGCAGTGTAACCCTAAAGCTAGGTTCAACCATAAAATAAGATGAAAAGCTACTATATTGTTGAATTAATGATTGTTTTCGGTACTTCACTTTGTGGGACTATTTGTTTATAGGTGCTTTATGTGTGTAGTTTACTGAAGTATTGAATCTAGCTTAATTTTATGTGGTCATTTCGATATGGTATGTGTCGATCCTAGACGTATCTTGGAATCAGGGCATGACAAAAACAAGTATTATTTAAAATAAACAATCAAAACAAATGAAAACTAATGAAAAAGGCTTGAAAACTTTGAATTTTCACGAAAATGACAAAATAAAGGGTAAAATGAATAGTACCAAGATTGACTTTTTAGTGTAAAAATGTGGTTTTCGTTAAAGTGAACAGTACTAGAACTTTTCGTTAAAATTCCCTAAAAACAATTTACATGCCCTTGTCCTAGCCCTCCTAAAATGGGTCGAACTGCTTTTAGAAACATATGAAGCAATCTCAGATGGAAATTGAATTGGAATTCACTTATTCCTGTATATTCTATCGTTATCCCCACCCCACCAGGGGTATCTTCATTGAATGGCAAATGGAACTTGACAATCCAAGTAGTCAAATCCATTGGAAATTAACTTCACTTTGAAGGAAGGAGGGGAGGACCAATCATCATATATGGACAAACTGCATGCTCTGATGTAAATATTCCCAGATAAGGGGTGAAAATGAAAGCTCTAGGTTTCCAACCACACAAATGTAAAGACTTCAAGTATTCATCATCCACCTATGTACCAATACCATTCAACAGTGTGAGACAAATTCAATCCCTTTTAAAAATCAAAACAAAATTTGTGTCTTTTGACACTTGAGAAACTTTAAGGAAAAATTATAGTTAGCCGTTCTGTTCTCTTAATTTTTAGACCAAATATTTGTAGGTTTTCTATTTCTTATTAAGCATTATATTTTCGATTTTAAGTGCTATTCAATATTTTAGATTTGAATAGAATACACCTCATGATTTGGTTAGATTGTACATCTAACATACACCTCATGATTATTAATTAATTTATTTAAGGAATGCTATTCAATATTTAAGGAATTCCGTTCAATCTAAATTATATGGGTAAGTTTTCAATAATTAATTCACAAAAAAAAAAAAAAAAATCCTTTTGTACCTATAATTTCTTCGGCTTATATTTATAGGTTTGTAATTTTATGAACGCACTTGGAGGTACGTTTGCTTGTATAGTTATTTGGTTATATGGTACGTTTAGTTTTCTATAACGTTAGTGTGTTTAAGGTGTGGGTAAGGGGTGGGGTAGATTAGGTCCTAGGTTTGAGGCCGGGTATAGATTAGGTCCCAGCAGTTTATCTAAAATACGGAGAAAGGAATTTGAAAACAAGATCTCAGGTGCAAGAGAACAGTCTTAAATAGCTAAGCGTCATCAATTAAGATTTTTTCCTGACATGAATTAATTTCTTAGATTATAGGTTGGCACCACAATAATAGAAAGCATTTTAATTAAAATTCTAAAACACATAAATGTATCTAAAAAATAAACGTTTGAGGCACCTAAATCTAAACCCACAAAGTTTAAAATATCAAAAAATATGGGAAATTATGAGAAACCGGTGATCGGATATGGAAAATTATGTTAGAGAGATTATATTTACACACTTCAAATTACTTCCCCAACATTCTTTTAATTTTTTAATATTTTCTATCAAGTGTTAGTGGTGTGTAAAGTATCAAAAAATAAAAATAAAAAATAAAAAAAGTGTGGGAAAGTAATTTAGTTGTGTGATATAATCTCTTTTACGTTATTGCTTTCATTGCTTGACGAGGAACGTAAGTTAGTCATTTTTTAGCGAGTAAATACTCACATATCCTTTATTGTATTTCTATTTCTCTTTCTCATCATATAAATGACTTTAATGAAATATTTCATATCCCTCTAAATAGGTTAATTTTTTTTATATTAATAAAAATTTTCTGCTATTACCGAGGTTTCTTAAAGAAGAAGAAAAAATAAAAAACAAGAGAGAGATTCCATGTCCATAGGCATGACATGTGTTAGTCTTCATTTTGTCCACATGTAGTTCCTGCAAGATGATTACAGTTCTCAAATGAATCATTCAATTTGGACCTAAGATTGTCTACTCTCCCTATCTCATATTCTTTCTATCCTCTCTTATAATAGTGTAGTCACAGTTAAGTTACGTCAATATTTTATATGAATTTTTTATAGAAATAATAAGACAAAAAGTAATGAAAATATAAAATATTGATGTAGCTTAACCGTGATCATAAAAATAAAAGAAGATAAGAAGAGTATGAAATGAGAATGGCAGACAATTCAAGTTTGAGAAGCGAATCTTGTATTTTGATGATTTATTTTGTTTGGCTGCATGAGTTAATAGCACGTGTAAAGAATTATTCTGTCGATGGAAACTTCAATGTCTCTGAGTATATTAGATTGCAACACAACTTCTTAACGGCATGGGTTACCCAACATTCCTAAATTCTATATGCTATATTCTTTCTTTTTCTTTTGGGCCACTTCAGTACTGCCTTTATGTGCTATATTTACCTTTTCACTAATTTTTCATTTAAGGTGATTAAGTGGTAAATCCAATTATCTCAACATGTATAGAATTACCTTGAACTTTGTGGCTTAGCCTAGTAACTGTGTCAGCTAGAAAATTAGTTTTACAATACGTGACTCCATGAAAACTGAAGTAAAATCATTTGAAACCTAGCGAATGTCTTTCAGGGATGGCACGAAGTCTCTACAGAGTCTCGCACTTCTCAATAACGACCAACTAACCCACAATAAGAACTCTATATGCTTTCGGTTATGTTCTTTGTAAAGTCCGCACTCTACTTCAAATTAATAGGCCTATTTTTCAAGAACGAAGAACCCCTATATAGTTGTTCTCCCCTTGGTGCTGGTTGTTAGAGGTTGGATTGTTGGTTGCTGTTGTTTTCAACCTTCCTGTATTTTTTGTTTTTAACTTGGCCTTTATTGCAGTTGTTGTGTTTGCTTCTGTTGGTTCTTTTTTAATATAATCATTTTTTTTTTTGGTAAAATCTTTTAATATAATCATATACTTAAACTCCTTTGTGTACGAAAACTATTTTCTTTGTCAATTTGCACCAAATAGAAAAGATTTTAGGTCATTGGGGCCAACAATACATGAATAGTCCGATACCGAAACCTAAAACACTACAGTACAAGACAATTAGTTAATTGTCATTATATATATAATATATAATGTTTCTAAAAGCCGCAGGAGTCGCTTTAAGTCGAGTGCGTGGACAACTCATATTTAAAGACATGGAGCACCTAGATCATTGGGTTCAGTATATGGAGGTAACCTCATTTGATACAGTGAAAGAAATTAAGATTCTACTTAAAAATTAATTGAAAATAAGGGGAGCGATTCTACTGTTTGTAAGCTTATGCGAGATCCTTTGATTCTCCAATGTGAAGTTCATTCTTAATATAGAAGACCACCACCAATTTCATTACATCGTTTAAGAACATTCACCACTCCACACAAGAATTTCTCTTTGTTTCCTCGTTCTCTCCGTATTAGTTTTTATTTTAAATAAAAGAACAGATTCATTGCATCCAAAATTCATAATGTTACACAACTAAGCATGTAAATAATTCAGATTCATTACAAACGAAGCCAACTCCCAGACACATTAAGTAGAAGATTAAGGAAAAAAAAAAAAATCAAGGCTCTGCTAATTAACACCCAAACTTACACAACTAATTATGTAGCAAGCTGGAATAATTTTCAGAAAACATAATGTAAAACATCATATGCTGCCCTGGAAACTATAATTACTACTACTTAAACCATGATTATTTGTCTTTGTGCTTCAATCCTTAATTCTGCCTTCATTCTTCTAATGAAGTCTTCAACTTTCTTGTTCAATTCTTCAGTACTATTACCAAACCTTCCTGTTCCTTCTTCATCTTCCTCGGCAAGTTTTCCATCTTCTTCTTCCTCTTCTTCTTCTTCTGAAACTAACAAAATACTTTCTGGTTCTTGTTCTTTTTGTTCTTCATAATCTTCAATAACCTTCTCTGCATGTCTTTCTACTTGGTTGATCAAAGGCTCACTTTCATGTTCTTCTCCTGCAGCAACATTTTCTAGCGAGTCCATACTTCCCGCTTTCGCATCTTCCTTTGGCGAAACTGGCTCTTCTGTCTCTAACATTGGCGAACCGAATTCCAAACCACCTTCTCTATTCTTCAAGCTTGTTTCTTCATTGCTAGGATAAGATGACTGCGCCGGAGATCGGGTTAAGCCAGAGTGTTTTGCAAGGAAAACGAAGAGCAGGTTGCATATGAGGAATATGAAGTTCTTGTCAATGGTGTGGGTGAAAAGTTGGTAAGGGAATGTTGAGAAGTAGAAGTTGAAGGAATGGAGGAATGAGAGCATGGATGAGCGGGAAAAGCAGAATGAAAACACAGAAGCTGAAAGCAAAAACTTGGCAACTTTTTTCAGAAGCTGATTATCTATGGAGTTGTAGTAGTAGTTTGTCAAGGTTTGTTGGTTTTGATCATCCATTTTTCTCTTTAGCTAGTTTTAATTGCTAAAGAGGTCTTTGGAAAATTGAGAAAGATAATGGGGTGGTGGAGATGAGTTCGAACTTTCAATTGTTGGAGTCGTCTTTCCAAAGGTGAACATATGCTATATGTGGAAGTTATGGAATATGGAGAGTTATATATAGTAGTCTAGGCTTAAAGAAATTTTAGGTTGTGTGGGCGGTTTTTCAACACGTGATGTTGTTGATTCAAGCGATATTTTAATTAATGTAATATAAATTATTAGGAGGAGAAATTTAAATTTCGGTATGGTGAAGATAATACATTATTCTAATCAACTTAGCTATGTTCTTGTTTGCTTTCAAGATTTTCCTAGCCAGCGTGTATATGTAGCGGTGAATTCACATATTGAGTAGTCATAAATGAGATAACTTACATGGAACAAGTTCATCACTACCGTAGTGTTATGATACAATAATTCATTGTTATGTATAAGTTTAGAGACAAAACGTCGCGGTAAATTCGTTTCATATAAATCATTCTCTTTAAATGCTCAACCATTGCACAAGAATTCTCTCTGAAAGATAAAAACTTGCATGCAACCGTTGGATAAAGCGGTTGTTTCACATTCATATTCGTGTACTCACATGATGATGTAGCAATTGTGAAACAATTTCATCTTATACAATGGGTGCATACTAAGTTTTCTTCTATTTGGAGGGAGGAGGGATGTTGACATGTTTTTTACTCGACTATGTGGAACTTTCTAGCTGTCAGCCCATTGAGGCATCAGGTAAGAGTAATCTTCACGTTCACCATTTGAGGTGTGACTGCTTTATAAAACTTGATTGAGATAGATGGCAACGACCAGAGAGTTGGGACCACGAAAGAAATTAAATATTGATCAAGTGTTCTATAACAAACCCATGATAGCACCATCGCTTAATTAATACGAGATTGACAGAAGATAATCTAATTAACATCATTGTCACGTCACATAGTAATACAGTGATATTCTTCTTCACTTGTAAGTTAGAGGTCTTAAGTTCGATTCTAGTGAAAGATAAATTCGAACTAAATTATTATGACTAGTCCATTGTAAAGTTTTATAACCACTCCCCTACTCTTATTGTAAATAATATCAAATGTATTACAAATATATAATTTTCAAAGGTAAAAAAAATGATAATTACACACAAATTTTTCCTCTTATATATATTTTGTCATATTTGACATCATATTAAATAAAGCAAATATGAAAAAATAAGAACAAGATTATAAAGAAGTGTTAACAAGAAGAAAAAATGTGTTTAGATATCATTTCAATTAGAAATATATATTTTTTCTTTCTTCCAATCAAAGATTCGAAATCTCTTCTAACACTGGAAAGAAAAATACAATTAAGCTAAGAGCTACTATCTTGAATATATAATTGACAACATACAATTTGTACTGGTGCAAATAACATTATTCCTGTGACCCAGAGCAAAAGGTGATAGTTGGTGAAAAATATTGGTTTTTGCGGTTGTTGGAATTAACAGGTTATAGTTGTGGTTGGTTTTGAATTTGTATCGTGTTCAATCCTTCAACTCTAAGCAAATATCATGCAATTTACATTCAGAAATGCTAAGAGATATAATTTGTAGTTAAAATTTTGTAAATTAAATAATATGAAAGTTAACGATTGAATTATTGCTTAAGCGTTGATAAACGTGTTCATTTCTTATTGATGATACATCATTTAGTTTGCAAATTTTATCCATAAATTTAGTCTCTCTATTATTATCTTCCAGATAAGCTCTTTTTAGCTTCCAAGCTTCATTAATATACACCCAACCAAATCTTTTCATTTTTAAATTAGGATTTACCTTAAATCACTACTCCTTTTTAAGTTTGACCATGCCCACGTTTGAGTCGCGTACGTGTTTGGCATATTATAATTTTGGAGAATTAGTTGTCTTAATAATTCTACAGCATTTAAGAGCATTTCCAAAATGAGATGTTAAAATGTTCAAATCAGCAATAACGGTAACAAAAGACAGCATTAGTGCTTTTCAATCGATAAGCCAAATCTGATGTGACATGACATGGATTGACATCTCTCCCCATTGTTGCCAAATTTGATAGCACCTTCAGATTTTTTTAATTAATTATTAAATGCTTTTTATTAATTTTTTATTGGTTTAAACCATTATCCTTTTGTACTTCTTTTCATTACCAATGCAAATAAAATACATATGAATTATTATTATGTTTAAAATTTGATATATCGGTTGGAGATCAAAAGTTTAAAAGATGCCAAAGTGCCACGTAAGCCTTCAAATTTAAATTTTAGGTTTAAAATTTGACATCTCATTTGGAGATGGTCTAAGTGCTAAACTAACTATTTAAATAAAAAGGGTCCATAAGAGAAAAATGATGAGTTTATAAGGGTGGTATGAGGGATCTATAAGGGCGTTTAATCTTTGTGTACAATTTTACTTCGGCAATTGCAATAATGCTAATTTCACATCAATAAATCTAGAAAAAAAAAAAAAAAAAGGAATCTTAACGAAACATTTCTGATACTGTTCACTTTTAACGTTAATTACATTTTTACTCTAAAAAGTCACTCTTGATACTATTCACTTACAACATCTTTTTGTCATTTTGCTTAAAACTCAAAGGGAGCGTTTGTTTGGCCGGATTAAGTTTCACTGGATTGGACTACTTAGCTAGGATTAGTAGTCCAGTGTTTGGTGTGAATTAGGATTGTGTTTAATGGGATTAAGCCGGACTCGTGCCGACTAAATCCTGCGCTAGGTGGGCTTAGCGAGAGCCACCAAAAACGAGGGGATTCGTAGTCCCGTTTCTATTCTTTGCTTCACCTCGTATTTCTGTTCTTCGCTTTACCTCCCTTTCTGTTCTTCGCCTCAGGCTTCACCTCGTGTTTCTTGCTTCGCTTCTCTCCTCTTCCCTCTTCTCCTTTTCTCAATCTCAGAGGATCTCCAAGTCTGCAATATTGGGTTTGACAGAAACGGATCCAAGAAGTCCAAGCCATCACCGTCTCTCACTTCCCTGACTCCACAAACCCCGACTCGTTGCCGGTCAGCTCGCCAGGCATTGTTGCAGGCCAGTTTCGCCACTCCACAGACTTGTGGCTCCGATTGAATCCACAGACTTGGAAAGATCTCTCCAGTTCGAATCTTGCACCGAACAAAAACCTGAAAAATAGGGGAGGGAAGGAGAGCATGGGACGAAGAGAAAACCTTGGGACGGAGAGAAGGAGAGCGTGGGACAGAGAGAAAACCTTGGAAAGCGCTCTCCACCACTTCCTCGTGTTTCCCCCTTCCCCAATCTCTCGAACCTTCTCCATCATTCCTCTCCTTGTTTCTTCTCCCCCATCTCTGCAAATCTCTTTCCCGGAGCAAACACACCACATCCACACCCACACCCCATCGCGACCTCCACCACAGTGTCTCACACCTTCTCGAAGACTCTCTTCTCCTCAGTCTCTTCCCTCTTAATCTCTCTCTCTCCCGACGCCTCTATCTCCAATTTCTCACACCTTTTGGATCTGTCGATTCTCAACCTCTTCCCTTTCGATCTTTGTCCCCCCGTCTCTCTCTCTCTCTCTCTCTATCTCGATGCCTCTGTCTCTGATCTGCACAGCTTCGCCGATTTTCGCTCCCTCCCAAACCTGAGATCATCCGATGGGATCTAGATTGAGAGGTTTCGTACGTGGTGGAAAGCGTGGGACGAAGAGAGCAAAGGAGATAAAGAGGGAGAAAAAGATGGAGGCTTTCAGAGAGAGGGAGAGTATTATTAGAATAAAAAAGGTAGAATTAATTAATATAATATTATTAGATATGAATTAAAAAATATAATATTATAGTTTGTTATTATCCTTCTTCTTTTTAGTTCGACACTGCACCAAACGCTTCACTAAGCTAGTCCAGATTAGTCTAGTCTAAGCCAATCCAGCTTAGTCCCTGCAGCTAGTCCAGTCCGAGACAGTCCGCTACAACAAACGCTCCCAAAATTTTCAAGCAATTTTCATTAGTTTTCCTAAAAAAAAAACTTAGTTATAACTTATAAGTCCCAATTAAAGTTACATGTTGCACATGCTTTGTTGGGGAAGATTATTGCAGAACAATTTATTATTTTGGAAAACTAATGAAAATGACTTGAAAATCTTGAGTTTTAACGATAAAGACAAAATAAAGGGTAAAATAAATAGTATCAAGATTAACTTTTTAATGTAAAAATATGATTTTTCGTTAAAGTGAACAGTACCGGGAGCTTTTCGTTAAAATTCCTTTTATTCTTTTCTAGTTGGATGTTTTGACTGATAATTTTGTAGTATGATTTTTATTATTTGGCAATTTAAAATGTTGAGTTCAATGTATTTGGGCTTGGAATTATCTATATATTAATTGGAACTTCTCATGAAAATGGTTTTCCACAACATATTTTTAATAAAAAACACTTGATAATTTTTTTTGTTAATAATAAGAACAAAAACAAGAGGCCATGACAATATTGTAAATAAGTTAAAAGTAGAACTATTATAAATAAGTTGAAGTTTGGTTGCAATATTGTGAATAAGTTAAAGTTTGGAGGATGTGGTAGTATCGTAAATGAGTTGAAGTTTAGACAGTATCGTAAATAAGTTTAAGTTTGGGCCCATCTATTTCTTCGTAATCAATTGTTTCATAAGGACAATTAGTAGTGTCTTAAGAAATGGTTATCGATGCAAACAAATTTTAATTTAATTACAATAATGCCAGAGTCTCTTGTGCATTATTTAAGCTCGAAGTCAATGTGGGTAGCAGGTCCTAGCAGAGATGGGTACGGTGCAGTTTGATGTGGTTTCATTCTCAAACTGGAACTGGAACCGAGAAATATCAACGGTTTCGTTTGGTGTGGTTCTGCTTAAATTTATTACTAGAATCGTACGATTTGGTTTACACCAATTCCGGTTCGGTTCTTGTCAGTTTAAGGTTCCGAATACTAAATCATTTGACTACCAAATCAAATTGGTATTCAAAGTTTACTTGTTTTTTTCTTCTTGTTTTGCATGCTTGCATTCAAATACGATTTATAAAATACGGTTTACAGTTTAATAAATTGAAACATGCTATTGTTTTGTAGCAAATATCTTAAAAATATGTAGTCCC